GTGGTGGTGTGTGGTCGTGGTAGTATATATATATATATATATATACATATATATATACATACATACATATATATATATATATATAAATATATATAAATATGTGTGTGTGTGTGTATACATATATTTTTATTATATAATAGATATATATATGTATATACATATACTTACATATTATATATATATATATATATATAAATATATGTGTGTGTGTATATAGGTGTTTGTTTTTATGTGCCCTGACACAAGTCCTTTTCGCATTCGCATACCTTTCCCTTCGTACCTCGTCTGCACCCGTCTTTTCTTAAGCTGTCGCTGACGAATTCACACACACTCTCACACACCAATTCACACACTCACTCCATTGCAGATTCGTGTACGACGATGCGATGAATCCTGCGGACTACCTAATCGCCGTCACGGGAAGTGGCACGGGCAATGGAGAGAAGATGGTGGAAGGACCAGGCATGTCAACCCACACACACCCAAACGCGTGCGAGTGTTCGTGGGGCTCTATTACTATTACTAGTTTTATTCCAATCACTATTACTGATCCTATTACTATTGCAACTGATGGATGTATAAGTAACAGTGTGTACTATACTGTGGGCGCTGTGTAAACATTATCTCTATACAACTGCTCAACATATGACATCTGACATATGACATGTGGCATGTGGGTTACACTGTGGGCGAGTGGCTGTGCATGTTCTGCTTCGCTTGAGTGAGTTGCTGCGCTCGTGCCATGGCTAAACCCAACAGTCATTTGAGTGTCCCATTGATGACTGTTGGGTGTACTAGACTGTTCATCCCCTCCATACGCCTGCGTTGCTCCAACATCCAGTGTACATAGTATATTTACTGGGTTTCAGGGTTTAGGATTTTCTAAACCCTAAAACCCAAGACCGGTACTGATGTGCTGCCCTCGCAAATCGAACCACTTGTCACTGACGATAACTGTGGCCATCCGCTCACCTGACGTATGCTGACGTCACACAATTCCACAACTCGCACGTGGTTTGCTGATGACGTCAAACTACTCGGACGTGTATTCCCGATGACGTCACTCTGCTCACCCGCGTCTTGACACCCACTGCAGACCTCACCCTGAAGCACTTTGTGGAGAAGTACCAGGGATCGCAAGTGTCTAAGAACCGCATGGAGTCCACGCTCAACCATAAGCAGAGTCAGCTGCAACGCTTAGAGGTACGCACACGCATTACAGTCACACTGATAAGCGAGTACAGAGGTGCATACACACCACTCACCCGGACAAGTGCGTGTGTGGCGATGGCTTGCTGTCGTTTAATCTGTCGCACACATTACAGCCAATGACCTGCGACGCTCCGCACTCGGAGTTGTCACAGCCTTAAGGAGAAGAGTGTTGTGCACACTCACACACTAGTACATGGGCATGCATGTGCTACGCAGCTACATCTGATGTCATGCTACACATGCATGTATGTATCTACATCTGATGTCATGCTACACATGCATGTATGTATCTACATCTGATGTCATGCTACACATGCATGTCTGTATCTACATTTGATGTCATGCTACACATGCGTGTATGTATCTACATCTGATATCATGCTACACAATGCATGTATGTATCTACATCTGATGTCATGCTACACATGCATGTATGTATCTACATCTGATGTGATGCTACACACGCATGTATGTATCTACATCTGATGTCATGCTACACATGCATGTATGTATCTACATCTGGTAGACCACTGATCAACTAAGCCAAATACCACCTCTGATCATGTGAGTGTTGCTACACTTCTCATCATGCTTGTGCTCTCCTTCATCCTACGGTTATTCTGTGTACGTAACAGCTGAGGAGGAAATCCTTGGTTAACACTGAGCCTGTGCGTTTCATCAACCCGTCGACGTGGAACACATGGCAGTGTCTCCTGCGAACCGTAGCCGGCCGCAAGAGAGATAAGGTATGCCCTCATATCATACTACTTATTATTGGGTATAGGGTTTAATTAAGGTATACTTTCATAGCAGTGCTACTTGTTGTAGGGTTTAGGGTTTTAATAGGGTATACTTTCATAGCAGTGCTACTTGTTTAGGGTTGAGTGTTTAGGATTTTAATAAGGTATGCCTTCGCCACTTGTCTGCATTAGCAGTTGCACCTGTTTGCGCCATGTGTGAATTGAGGTACATTTGGCTTGTGCAGCTTCAAGCTGGCAATATATTCTAACCAACAACATGGTGTATTGTCAAAAACCCACACCTGTCTATATTTAACATCACCCCTTTCACTGTACACAACAGCCATCTTGTACCAACCGCCCATCTCTCACTACACAACAACATTGTGCATAACTAATAACCCACCCTTTTCACTGTACACAACCTTGTACTAACCACGCATCGCTCACTACACAACAGCATTGTGCAGAACCGATAAGCCTCCCCATACCCTTTTCCCTTTCCCTTATCCTTCCCCATTGCCTCATCCTTTTCTTTTCTCTTCCTCTGTGATCTCCTCCCACAGGGGTACTGGTTGAGTCGGTTTGCGCGAGTGATCTTCATGACCTTCCTGCTGTGCACTACCTTCCCGCAGCAGGACAAGAGTTGCTCTGCCTCTTATAACATTGTTTCAGTTCTTAATTTCGGCGTTATGGTCTTTGGCTTCGGCGCGATGAGTTTCCTGCCGGGACGTATGTGCGCACCCAAATCATGTTTTTTTTGGCTTTTTTTTTTTTGGCTTTTTATGGTTTATTTGGCTTTTGCTCGTACGGTTTTATTTGGCATATTTGCCGTATTTAGCTTATTTCGCTTGTATGGTTTGTTTGGCTTTTGCTCATATACTTCTCTATTTGGCCTATTTGGCTTGTATGGTTTGTTTGGCTTTTGCTCATATACTTCTCTATTTGGCCTATTTGGCTTGTATGGTTTCTTCGGCTCATAGGCTTTTATATGGTTTATTTGGCTTGTATGGTTTATTTGGCTTATTTGGCTTCTGTGCACGTACTAACCATCTGGGTTTATCCCCTGTGCATGCTTTGTTCGCCAGTGCTTGTGCGTCTCGTATCTATCCATCGCATTTCACCATAAACACACTGCTCTCACCGTTAATCGCAAATTAGACGTACACCACAACCCTGTGTATATAAGTAATCCAATACATCACACATCTTTTTGTATTTTCTTTTATATATATAATATAAATTGGCACCCCGTTTGTACAGTGATGCAGACCAGAAACTTCTTCTACCGTGAGCGTCAGGCGCAAGCGTATCAAGTGTCGTCCTTCTACGCCAGCGAGTTCCTATCCGAACTCCCCGTCACGATTGCTCAGGTGCGCTGCGTTTGTGTGTTTAGTCGTCTGTGGTGTGGGCTCATAGCTGTCTGTACATATGTTTCTATCATAGCTGTGTGTGCATGTGTTTCTATCATAGCTGTGTGTACATGTGTTTCTATCATAGCTGTACGTGCATGTGTTTCTATCATAGCTGTGTGTGCATGTGTTTCTCTCATAGCTGTCTGTACATATGTTTCTATCATAGCTGTGTGTGCATGTGTTTCTATCATAGCTGTGTGTGCATGTGCTTTTGTCATAGCTGTGTGTACATGTGTATCTGTCATAGCTGTGTGTGCATGTGCGTCTGTCATAGCTGTGTGTGCATGTGTTTCTATTATAGCTGTGTGTACATGTGTTTCTATCATAGCTGTACGTGCATGTGTTTCTATCATAGCTGTGTGTGCATGTGTTTCTTTCATAGCTGTCTGTACTTATGTTTCTATCATAGCTGTGTGGGCATGTGTTTCTATCATAGCTGTGTGTGCGTGTGTTTCTATCATGGCTGTGTGCACATGTGTTTCTATCATAGCTGTGTGTTCATGTGCGTCTGTCATAGCTGTGTGTGTATGCGCTGCTGAGTTTGCACCGTATTGCTAAGCTGTTCATTTCGACGTCTGTGTTTCCTCGCGAGCTGTGTGTCACACACACACACACACACACACAAATTTGTCAGTCAATCATCATCACACACCAAACCGAATGCAGGCATACATGTGTGCGTGCACGCCCTGAGCGTTCGCCTCTCTCTGCACTCAGCCATACTCTGATCTAACACGTACTGTATCTCTGCTCAGGCCACCTTGTGGACTGCTCTCAATTACCCCATCATCGGCTTGCGCGCGAGTGTGTCCGCAGGTCTGCTGTACTTTGTCATTCTGGTTATCTCGTCTGAAGTCGGGTTTGCCATTGCCCAGTGCTTCACGTATCTGGCGAAAGACATGGAACAGGCCGCCGAGATGATGTTGCCCGTGGTGCTGTTGAATTTCCTATTCGCAGGGTTCTATATCCAACGTCCACTCATCCCAGACTACTTCATCTGGTGTTACTACATATCGTTCCTGGGCTATGCCTTTAGTGCGTTTGGTATCAATCAGTGGCCGTCGGGCGAGTGTGACGGCTGGCAGTATTGTCAGGGTGGCACCTCCATCACCGTCTGCAACGAGTATGTGCCACAGGCTATGCTTATCAGTATCAACTAGTACGGTGATGCGCTGCTTGTGTTAGGAATGAAAGTACGCATGTGCACATGTACTGGTGTTATCAGGTGCGTGTGTCTACCTGTGATAGTACCCATGTCGACATACACATGCACATGTACTGTTGTGCACATATATATGCTCATGCACTGGTTATATAATATGTGTCTGTCTGTGTACGTTCACTGTACTTGCGCTGTCTGACGTGCATTCATCCCAACACCTGTGTGCATATATCTAATATCTTTGGTGTTGCGGACGCTCCAGTGAGCACCCTCGCCATTCGGCAACTGCGTATACTAAATCTAACCCAAGACAAGATGCGAACACACGGCCTGAGTACATCAGGTGAAGGACTGGCTCAACCAACCCACCCAGGCCTAAGCATGTAGTGCTGACACCACCAACCGCTCACCCTCTAACGCATACTGTACTCCCTTTCCATATACCTACCTACCTACACAGCGTCATTCAATCACAATGGGGTATTGGTGTGGCTGGGTACTCGGATCAGCTGTGGATCTCCATGGTGGGACTGTGTGGGCTGTGGGTGGTGTGGCGTATTCTGGCTTACTTGGCCCTGCGCTTCTGCCGACACGACAAGCGCTAGAGCGTCTCTCTCTCTCTCTGCGAGACGGAGGCAGACCTCGCTCCTAGTGTCGACTGCCGCAGTTAGCTTAGCAACACTCTAGTATTAATCTATTCACACCATAGCCACTACACCTGTTCTACCTACACCATCCCCTCCCGGAGAAGATAATGTGCGTGCAACCTTAGGGTTTATGGTGTGGCCTAAAACCCTAAGTGGTTATCAGGGCATGTGGGAGCAGAAGGATGGTGTGTGGGGAGCTATGCTTAGGAGTTATGAGGGCCAACACGGCATTGTCTCGGGCGCCCAGTTAACAAGTTAGCAATTAAATACGTTTGTGAACCTTGCTCTGCTGTGTTTAGCTTACTTTGTCGCGCTCTAGAGTTGGGTTGAATCCATACGGATCACCTGCTGTCTAGTCATAGCAGGTGAGGCAGAACAGTTACAGACTGAAGTGTCCTTTATTTGTATTTGTAGTAAATAGAAACAAACCTATCTCATAGCACAGTTAGTAAAGCAGTCTTCAGTTGGAATGTGCTTCATTTTCTTCAGTTGGAATGTGCTTCATTTGCACATTATTCGCACATGCAATGCGATATAATCCTCTCACATCTCCTCATAGATCAGTTCGCGTAGCTGTCTTCAGTTGGAATGGGCTTCATTTGCACATACAATACAAACTAATCCTCCCACTTCACCTCATAGCGCAGTTCGTATAGCAGTCTTTAGTTGGAATGGGCTTCATTAACACATTATTCGCACATGCAATACAATACAATACACTTCTCTCACATCTCGTCGTAGCACAGCCTGTAGTACAGTTGCTGATTGAACAGTGTCTCGCCTATCAGTTTACCGTCGAGTCCATATCTCTCCACCGCACCCGCTACCACAGTGCGAAAGTCATCGGCAAACGCAATGGTGTATTCCCTGGTATATATAAGGACACAAACGTTTATGAGTTCGTCGGCACACGTATGAAGTACGGTAGTGATATTGTAGTTCTATATAAAGCGTTAATTTATCGTTAAAATGGCATTCGGGGAAACGAAAGGATGCGTAGTACATGAGAGCAACGCAGGGCGTTCACAGCTGACATGGCTTATACACACATGCCACGATGACAGCTGACATGGCTTATACACACATGCCACGATGACACAGCTGACATGGCTTATACACACATGCCACGATGATAACAGGACTATAGTCAGACACTTCAGTTCAATGGTGTAACCACACACATCCCCGTTCACACAGAATAACATGTGGGCGTCACTCGCAATAGAGCGCGAAGTGGTTCGTCCCTTACCATTTGGTGTCTCCATTGAATCCGGTATCCCATTCAACCGTTGCGGTGAAGACTTTCCTGTCAGAGTCATACACCGGATCTAAAAATAGCTTTCTGTGGGGTGGTCTGCTGCCATCATCCAATTGCCAAGCAGCCGGTGCTTCTTCATACGAGATATAACTGCCCTCAGCACCTGTGCACACGGGTGCGGCTATAGTGTGATTGGCTGTGTCTTGTGTTGTAGGTCTATGTACCGAGAGTTGTGAATGGGACCATTTGGTGCTCCAGAGTGAGACGAATTGCGTATACATCGCCATAGCAGAGGTTCCGACTATGGTTGTGTTTCTGTTTGGTGTTTGTAGACGCCGCGTCGGCCGACCAGGAAGTGAAGCTAACGTTAATAAGCGGCTTATTAATCATCTATGAACAGT